CAAAATGTGTAGGTCTGACTGGGTTTATACCAAATATACTGTACATGGGCGTGCATGATATAGCCCCATCCTATATCTCTGATCTTTTATCTCCCTACGAGCCAGGACGTAGCCTGAGATTCTCTGGCAGAGCACTGTTGACCATTCCAAAGTCTAGGTTGAAAACTAAAGGAGAGCAGGCAATTGCCATTAGGGCCCCTAGACTTTGGAATGGTCTGCCAGAGGAGATCAGGCATGCAGATTCAGCGCCTCTTTTAAATCCCTGCTGAAGACACACTTTTATAAAAATGCTTGATTTCACTGTATGATTTTAATTAGCTATCTTGTTTCTTTCTCCTTCATCCTGACTATGTTTCTTACATTTACATTTACATTTACGTCATTTAGCAGACGCTCTTATCCAGAGCGACTTACAGTTAGCGCATACATTATTTTATCGAACCCACAACCCTGGCGTTGCAAACGCCATGCTCTACCAACTGAGCTACATCCCCTGCCGGCCATTCCCTCCCCTACCCTGGACGACGCTGGGCCAATTGTGCGCCGCCCCATGGGTCTCCCGGTCGCGGCCGGCTACGACAGAGCCTGGATTCGAACCAGGATCTCTAGTGGCACAGCTAGCGTTTCTTGGTTTGAACTTGTAATTTATTTTACTTGTATTGAAAAGTGCTATACAGATAAAGTTGTATTATTATTATTTGAATGCCTGGGGAGAATATGATTGACAGGTAAATAATGGAGATAGGAAGGGGAGAACTGAGAGGTGTTGCTGGGGAGACAAGAGAGAGAGCCTTAAAAGGTATCCCAGAGATGTAATAATGTCTTACCTTCCAGTCTTACAATAAACAGCTTTTGTACTTAAATGCCTAAAATGCCAGGGGGAGATTTGGTGAAAGTATATAATCAGTCAGAGCTTCAGAGCTAGCTACATTCCCATTCATAGGTGGTCATTATCCCAGAGGATGCAAGAAGGGAAGGAGCTCTTACGGCAGGGTGGCAAAGAAATTGTGGGAGAAGAAAATGGGAGCCAACGTGGCAGTGCTGGGGTGAGTGAGCGCTGTCCACCAGCAACACCAGAGGGGGAAACAATTCAAGGGCTAAATGTTCCCACAGGGTTTTTGTGAAAACAGGAAATCTGGCTTGGCTTCAGGCAGACTGCTCTGGCAAGGTAGGCCTCTGCCGAGGTTGCCATGGCAACTGGCGAGCCCTGCATGGATTATGTTACCCTGCTTCCTTACACTAGAGAATTGATCGTTGTGTATGCATTCTGCCAGCCGACAAGGCAATTTTATTCTCTGACATAAAAACGCATTCATTTAATAATAATAATAATAATAATAATAATAATAATAAGTAGAGCGCTTTTCTTTTACAGACATAAATCACAAAGCTCTTTACATTGAGAGCAACCATTAAAATAAACATTAAAAGGGCTCTACAAATAAAAGGGCTAAAAAACATTAAGCGAGAAATTAAAAGATAGCTAGCGGTCTAGTACTATAGAAGACACACAAAAAAAGTAAAGGAGGCAACAAGGACAAAACAATAGAACTCGAAACTAACGTATAAGACCAACAACAGACCCCCCAACAGATATCACATTAAGCGAAGGTCAGTTTGAATCTCAAACTTAAAGGCAGTGGTGGTCTGGGGCATGCGGAGGGTGGGGGGGGGCTCGTTCCAGAGTCGGGGGCTGAGACAACAGAATGCTCGGTCACACATTGTTTTTAGGTGTGTCTTTGCACGGAGTCTTTGATCATTTGACCGGAGTGAACGTGAAGACTGTTTAGGGCTGATAAGTTCACTGAGGTTTTGGGGACCAGAGTCATTTTTGAAGACTAACAGGAGGATTTTGAAGTTGATTCTGAACTGGATGGGTAGCCAGTGCAGAGAGGCTAGAATTTTTTTCAGATCAGGTTTGGAGAGAAAAGGACAGAGCCAGGTGATGTTTCTCAGGTGAAATCATTATTTTTTTGCAGACGTATTTTATGGGGTCGGAGAAAGTGAGGGGTCCAGTAACACTCCAAGGTTGGAGACAGAGGAGGACAGTTGGATGGATGGGTGGTCCTCTGTAGCTCAATTGGTAGAGCATGGCGCTTGTAACGCCAGGGTAGTGGGTTCGATCCCCGGGACCACCCATACGTAAAAATGTATGCACACATGACTGTAAGTCGCTTTGGATAAAAGCGTCTGCTAAATGGCATTTTATTATTATTATTTTTACATTTTAGCAGACGCTCTTATCCAGAGCGACTTACAGTTAGTGAATACATTTTTTTTTTTTTATACTGGCCCCCCGTGGGAATCGAACCCACAACCCTGGCGTTGCAAACGCCATGCTCTATCAACTGAGCTACATCCCTGCCGGCCATTCCCTCCCCTACCCTGGACGACGCTGGGCCAATTGTGCGCCGCCCATGAGTCTCCCGGTCGCGGCCGGCTGCGACAGAGCCTGGATTCAAACCAGGATCTCTAGTGGCACAGTTAGCACTGCAATGCAGTGCCTTAGACCACTGCGCCACTCAGGAGTATATTATTATGGAGTATATTATTATGGAGTGGCCACCAAGGTGATGGGATTGGTTTTGGTGTGATGGTGTGATGGGGAGTGCCGATGAGGATTGCTTGTGTTTTAGTATTGTGAGTTGTAGGAGGTTGTTTGACATCCAGGCTTTGATGTCATCCAGACTGTTGGTGAGGGTGTTTATGAAAGAGAGGGAGTCTGGGATTGTTTTTATGTAGATCTGTGTGTCGTCAGCGTAGCAGTGGAATTGGATGGTGCGTTTCCTGATTAGGAGACTAAGGGGGAGCATGTAGATGATTAATAGAATGGGGCATAAGACGGAGCCTTGAGTGACACCACAGGTAATCGTGGTGGGTTCTGACTTGGCATTTCCTTAGCCGCAAACAAATTATTTTAAACATGTTTGGATGTGATGAAGACTGAGTTTGCCAGACCACCGCTTTTTCTATGTTAACGTGATAATCTTAAACAGTGAGGCATCATGTAAATTAAAAAACAATGGCAATATACACAATATTCTGTACACTCCTCCATGTCGAAAAAAATAACACTGACACCCACACCATCGACCCAGTGCTAACCGAGAGTCTGGTGCAGCTGAAGTGCAAATGCGCACATATGCCAGTCAAACGATGCTGCTCAACAAACGAAGCAGAAGAAAGACGAGACCTCGGGGCATGGAGCTCAGCACTTCACAGAAGCTGCAGCCAGCGAGAGGCTCTGAGCGAGGGGCTCCGACTGATCCTAAGAGAGATGCACAGTCCCATTGTTCTGCCTCAGCACAGCTGTGGTCTGGGCGCCTGCCTGCCTGGCCCTGCCCTGTGTGAGGCTGCTGCTGCTGCTGTTCCAGACCAGGACCATCTCAAATCATATTAGCCAGCAGCATCTGGCCAGCCTGTCCAGGACGTTATGTGGTCATGTGTCCTGTGGTCGTATGATGGATAACAGGGACAGGGAAAATGGAAAAGGACGTAGCAGTGGCACATCACTCTTTGTGTACGACATGATTGCCAGTTCTCATTGGTTCTGTCATTGTATTTATGTGTCCTTCCTTGTATTTTTGCTTTCCAACATGAGTTTCTGAAAGTCCTTGACGTCAGTGACGTTCAGGTCGGAAAGTCAGGGCTCTAGAAAGATGCCAAAGTTTTCGACTTGGAATTCCGAGTTGGATGACCGTTCAAAGCAATTTTTCCCAGTCGAATCTTGTTTTTTTCCTAGTTCCCAGGTGTCTTGAACACACTGAAGTCAGAGATGTACGAGTTCCCAGTTCCCAGTTGTTTTGACCACGGCATTAGTCTCAGCGGAGGGAGGGCGAGAGCTGCTCTCTCCTTAATTTCCTCCGGTGAGACTGACCAGAGAGAGGGGACACCGTCGTCCACCTGATGGTGAAACTCGAGGCGCACCGCATCCGCATCTGCCTCAAGCACAAATTCATGTTGTTCCTATGTCCAGAGAAAGTTAAATATTCCTTGATATTAAAATAAAAAAAAGGGAAATACCTAGTCAGTTGTACAACTGAAATGTGTCTTCCGCATTTAACCCAACCCCTCTGAATCAGACAGGTTTGGGGGCTGCCTTAATCAACATCCACAGCACCCAGGGAACAGTGGGTTAACTGCCTTGCTCAGGGGCAGAAGGACAGTTTTTTACCTTGTCAGCTCAGGGATTCGATCCAGCAACCTTTCGGTTACCAGCCCAATGATCCTACCCGCCAGGCTACCTGCCGCCATGACGAGCTGCTAATAATAATAAGAATGCAGGGCTACTCATTCATTGCAGCTGCAGCGCAAATGGCAGCAGGGAGAAGGTGTTTTATGTTTTGGAATAGTGTTGAATAAAAAGTGTTGACAGTGTTGAATAAAAAATTTAACATGAACTCACTGATAAAAATAGCAGCTCTTAGCTGTATTCTTTGACAGTCTCTCTGGTCATGGTTTTAAAAGTTATGAAATCTCACGTAGGCTAGTATCAAACTTCTAGGCACAGTGATTTGAGCTATCCAATTGGCCAGTGCAGTAGGCACACTCGATTTAGCCACATATCTCCTGGTCCGCTGGGTAGGCGGAGTTTGGCTTTTCAGACAAATGAAATGGCTAAAAATGGGAACACTTTGCCTACCCGGTACACAGGGCTTCTGAATCAAGTGTACCTACCACCAACAGCCTTTATCATTGGTTTTCTACAGAAATGTTTGGTGATCGACTAGGAATGCGATCGACCAATTGGTGACCACTGACCTACAGTATTTTTTACACCATTATAAAAACAACTTGACAAGGAGATAAACGAATGAATAAACAGGTCACCTGTTACTTGTCAAGGCAGTTTCTCAGCCTGACGTGGCTACACAGTCCTGTAGAAATCATAAAATAACTTCAAGTGACGGACTGACTCAATCAATATGTTACTTCAATGAAAGCTACTCTGTCTTTCCTCTCCTCAGAGAGAGAGATGAAAGATCATAATAGATAGATACTTACGACTGGAGCACGCTGCAGTTGTAGAAGACGAAGTCAGTGGTGATGAACTTGTGCCCTGTCTCCTTGGACTTCAGGAAGAACTTGACCACTCGCTTGTCACCTGAAATGACAGAAGAACCACAGTAAGCCAAACAGCCTAGAAGCTCCCAAACAATTATCCGTCCATCCGAGGTCCCATACCCCAGGAAAATAATCTTCTTTCTAAGCAAATTCAATAATGTAGATTTGATAAAAATGTCTGATTGCTCCTGCCTTTTATCTACCATTTCCATTACCAAGAGAAGTGCACTTACGGTCCAAAACAGGAACCCTGCGAACAGATGTACTATTTCATTTGAAGTAAAGGCTGCATCTCAACTAGTCCAATTATACCTGTAGGCCTGACTTCAAGATAATTGGCTAAGCATTTCCAGTGGACTTTAAATAATTGCCATTAATGGAACAAAACACGAGCTACTGCACTTTTCAGGTTCCCATCAGTCCATCTAGTAAGAGCATTCAGTTGTTTTCCCCCAAAAAATCGAAAACACATTAAGGCCCATGTCCACATGGCTCAGAAAAACTAAAACACTGTATACGTCAGACACATTACAGCAGTCTGCACAACAAGCAGATATGATACAACCCACTGAAGTGTATGAAAATATATAGATAATATCATACAAAAAAAAGTATGGTTATAGTGATAAATATGATAATCAGAAAATAAAAACATTATTATTCAATGGACAACCTTTGAACGTGGTCCTCTGTATCTCAGTTGCTAGAGCATGGCGCTTGCAATGCCAGGTTAGTGGGTTCGATTCCCGGGACCACCCGTATGTAAAATGTATGGACGCATGACTGTAAGTCGCATTGGATAAAAGCATCTGCTAAATGGCATATATTCGTATTATTATTACTATAGATTTATAGTGGTATCTGATAGAAGCTTTACCGTATCCCTGTGTGAGGGAGGGGACATCTTTGAGGGAGGGGGACATACAGAGGATCTGCCCCTTGGCCAGCACCTCCCCTGGGCTCTCTGTCAATTCCTCAAACACACACGTCACCCCGGCTGACAGGCTGGGCACGTTGACCACTTTCACACTCAGCTGGAGGGAGGAGAGGGGAGAGGGAGAGAGAGGGGGGAGGGGCGTGGGAGAGAGAGGGGGAGGGGCGTGGGAGGGAGAGAGAGAGGGAGTGAGAGAGGGAGGGAGGGAGGGAGAGAAGCATATTAGGTGACAGGTGGAGTTATCCCTGTGCGTATCCTTGCATCCCAGTGAAGGTTATACTAATACCAGAAATCTTTAATGACAGCTTAATAAGCCAACTTCATATTGGTAATGTTGTGATTAGCTAGCGTCGTGTTTTTCTCTGGTGTTAACAGTGTTTTTTTGTTGTTGTTTTTTTTACAACCTGTAATTACCTGAGTGGAAGTAGAGGTCACAGACATGTTGTTAGGTGTGACACTAATGTCCACACAGTGATCCAGCTCTGTGTTAAAATGCTGCGGCTCGGCCCACTTCTCACAGGCCTCCTGTCTGGAACACCTGGGAGGAAACACAATGAGGTTAGGGGTCAATAATGATCACAACATTACATGCTGTCCTACTACCAAAATGACACTCAGCTCAATACAGTACACAGCCTGCAGCCATATTACTGGGTAAAAATCCATCCACTCCATTGTCCAACAGAGCACTGGGAGTCTGGGACAAACTCTTAACTTCTGGAATAAGATTCAGTTGTAACAAATGACTGAGGTGGCTTAAGTGGGCAGGTCAGGTATGAGCAGAAGCACAGAAATTATACCAGTGTATGGTAGGGCTAAGATGGCGCCAACGGATGGCGCCTCGCTTCGAGCTCCTACAAAACATGTCAGATTTCTACTTTTTCTTCACACCTGCACTGTTGGAGCTCGGAGCTTAAGTATTTCACTGTACAGTGCCTTGCAAAAGTATTCATCCCCCTTGGCGTTTTTCCTATTTTGTTGCATTACAACCTGTAATTTAAATTGATTTTAATTTAGATTTCATGTAATGGACATACACAATCCAATTGAGAATCTGTGGTATGACTTAAAGATTGCTGTACACCAGCGGAACCCATCCAACTTGAAGGAGCTGGTGCAGTTTTGCCTTGAAGAATGGGCAAAAATCCCAATGGCTAGATGTGCCAAGTTTATAGAGACATACCCCAAGAGACTTGCAGCTGTAATTGCTGCAAAAGGTGGCTCTACAAAGTATTGACTTTGGGGGGGTGAATAGTTATGCACGCTCAAGTTTCCTGTTTTTTTGTCTTATTTCTTGCTTGTTTCACAATAAAAAATATTTTACATCTTCAAAGTGGTAGGCATGTTGTGTAAATCAAATGATACAACGCCCCCCAAAATTCATTTTAATTCCAGGTTGTAAGGCAACAAAATAGGAAAAATGCCAAGGGGGGTGAATACTTTCGCAAGCCACTGTACTGCAACTACATCTGTGACCCAGTGCATGTGTCTAAATAAAAATCTCATCTAATCTACTCTAATCATGAACACACATTTAGGAAAATACATGAAAACACAAAAAAATTACAAATGTTGAAATATTCTGAGCCAAGCACCACATCGCAATAAACTTCAAAATATGTTTTTGTCACCAATTACCCCATTGTCAGGTTAATGTTGCATAGCAGACACTTTTATACAGCTAATTGACCTAATTGACCTGGTCTTGATGATAGGAACCAATTGTTTTATAAATCCCTATTGAAGCCAGAACAATGACAATTCTACCAAATGTTTTTTGTGACAAAAATATGATCAGGTTTATGCGGCATATCACCATTCTCTCTCTCGCTGCAGTTTTATTTTAAGCCTGTTATTTTCCGCTGTGGAAGTGAATGTCCTATTTTTCTCCTTACAAATTCTAAGGAGCAGCTGGATATTAAAACATTTATAACAGCAGCACATTTGTTAGACGTGGCATTACTGTAAGTGCAGTTAAAAGTTTCACATGTTTAAACTTGACAGCTGCACTGAAAGTTGCTGTGGATTATCTCCAATAAAAACTCCTGCTTATGCACCAACCAGCACTGTCCTATTTACCATGTCCACTATGCCACTGGATTTTACAGCAGACGATTAGGGATCATCTCACATTAGGACAGACAGAGCAGAGCATGACAACACACAACACTATCTCACTACAATCTCCATGAACACCATGTCCAGAAACCATAAAATAAAATATTGTAATGTGATGACAATTAAATATAAATAAAAATAAAAATGAAATGAATGAAAATATAAACTGTTCTGTTCCGCCAATAAAACTTGGAATGTGTCACATGCCCACTTATATTTCACAGGCTCATGAATGCGAGAAAGCAGAAGCAGTGAAGCACAAACTTGATTTGAAGGTTAGCATTCAACTTAAGCGCGTGATAATTCAGTCTCGATCGTCTCCGGAAGGAAATGTATTTTATTTTCCTTTAGAGGAACATCTTCTTCAAGAATGAAGAAGCCGCTGCAGATCCAGGGCTGTTTTTCACCCAAGACGCAACACACCATAAATTATTTGTTTACTTCTAATTAAAGCCATATGTCTGGGGAAAGAATGGGGGTAGGCTTAATAAAACATGCAGGGCCTAGCACCAGACATGACTGCTCTCTGTACAGTAACTGGAACTGTGGTGCAGCCAACAACAATTCATATCACTGGGATTCTTCTGTTGCTTTGTCATTTCTTCTCATTCAGTTTCCAGGAATGAGATTTAATTCAATTACAGTGCAGCCCTCTTCCTAGTGGAATGGCAGATATGTGATTTATGGTGAAACGTTGTCCCCCTGGAGTGGAGGTCCCTTCAGCTTCTCTCTCTCTCTCTATCTATATATCTCTCTCTCTCTCTCTCTCTCTATCTATCTCTCTCTCTCTATCTCTCTCTCTCTCTCTCTCTCTCTCTCTCTCTCTCTCTCTCTCTCTCTCTCTCTCTCTCTCTCTCTCTCTCTCTCAACTCTGCAATGATGCCATGAATAATCCAGGGGATCAGGGACCTGCATTAGTGACTATTCTTTGTGGGGACAAAATGGACTCAACACATCTTCAATTAGCAGGTGAGGAGTCCTCTGTAATATATGATCAAGTGAAATGGGGCTATAAACCGTCAGAGGAGAATGTAGTGAGGCACTAGAGGGACGTGGGTGAGAAACGGGAGATTGGGTGTTCACATTAACCCTAAGAGAAAGCCATGCGTTGAGCACATCGCTTAATTTAAACTTGAGAACAGCCCTTTTTAAGGAATAAGCCCAGGAAAGTGGAGTAACTGATTCAGTTCAAATTTGGTCATTTATTTTGGCAGATAGGCTCCCTCCCTACATGCCCAATTCACAATTTCAGGTTTCACGAATTCTATTACCCTGCCCTCACACAGTGTCCTCAAAGTCAAATTAATCCAAGGCCACATTCAAACCACATTATGATTAGACCTCTCTGTTCATTCTGACTCTAAAAGGCAAAGTTTCACCATGTTCAAATTTTAATTGGACGGAGGAGTTTAAAAAAGCCTTTCATAACACATGTAAATCATCTAATAATAATGTCATTACATCATTCAAATGGGAGTGTTGGGGTTAAATGGAAGCATTGCGACACAGAGACAGGATCAATTGAGCACATTAATTGATATGGGGAGGGTGGGGGCCGTAACGGCCACTAAGGGTCTGGGTTAATTATCTATTTGACTTTGATTAGTGAGAAAGACGACACAAGAGACAATTATGTCTGCTGAGGGGGCGAAACCATATTGAAAGGACAGTCACTTATCACTGGCTTTTTTTACTGTACTTTTTTCTGTAACCTTCAACCATGTTAATCTGAAACACCTTCTCTCAAAGACATCCGACAAAATGTGCAGTTCTGCAAAATGTTGGATAAAAGAAAGGCTATCGTCAAACAGTAAACATTGCAGATGTTCCATATTACATTAAAAGCATATGATGTTTTCATGTAATAGTAGTTGCTCTGAATTATCCTCTAATTATAATAATACGCTGACAATCCCAGTCTTATTTAAATCGACGCAGAGGTACCTTCACCATTCAGTGAGCACTTTACATTAATAACTGAACAGATACTGACATATGATGGTGTGCTGTCATTTCACGGTGTGCTTTCATCATTTATAGAACATTAATGAAGTCTCTTGAGTAGGGGAAGTTTCCACAAGATAAATGCCACATGAGACATCCTAACCAATGCCGCACTCAACAGATACAGTAGCAGAGAAATCACTAAATAAGCCTGATTTGAATCACACTGCAAATCCATCTTCTAGTTTCCTGTTGTTGCCATGGACACAGACCATTTCCCAGGGTGTATTTTGTTTTTTTTCTCCTCTACCCTGGCTCGACTAACATGATGGCTCGAGGCTAAAGAGCCCTGGAGGGATAGCAGACAAAGCAGAGACAACAAGTAAAAGAAAGGGAAGCAGGTCAAAGCTAGTCTTCCCAAACGAGAGTGTTTTTGGCAGGGGGTGTTTTTGAACAGCCATCTCCCATGGCAACCCATCTTCCCAAGGGAAGGGGAGCTCTGGCAACACAGTTTAAGAATTAAGATTTAACAACCCCAAAATGTCACTGCATTGTTTTCCGGAGCATCACTCCAATATGTGTCATAACAGTAACAAGACAAGCGATAAGTGCCTGGATAAATGTCTATATTACAGATCAGAGGAACACATGACAATCCCTACCACAGTTTTCATATGAAAACTCATAAATCATACCACCTTCAAAAGCTTCAGGCAGTGCATTCAAATTGATAGTGCCTTAAATGAGGTCTTGAGAGTTACGTCACATAGACGTGCCAAAATAAAGCTCTCTATCCGTGAAATGAGAGCAAGGGTTAAATGGGGCCATTACATACATCTGTGGTAAACACTGAAATATACAGCTGAAGTAGCTACCTCGTGATCAAAAAAGCAATATCCCACAAAGGACTCAAAATAAAAAACCTCAAGACCAAAAAATGACTGCTTTATAAAGTTCAGTATATTATTAGTTTCATTTTAGGACCTGTGACCGCATCCATTGGCCTAGAAAAAGTAATATCGAAGATATTGAAGAAACCACAATGAGTTTTAGTAGCCTGGTCAGAAATCCCCAAAATGTAAGACAATCTAAAATTGAGCACCAAGTAAAGTGTGTGCTGTCTGAAAACGTGGCTCATTGACTGGGCTTGAATAGAAGATGCCCATTGTGGTCCATGGAAGCGAGTCATCCCAGTAATTTGAGTTACCTCCTGCACATTAATGAGCAGTCTAAGGTTGCCTGGCCTGGCCTGTATCCTGCTAGGATGAACAAAGCCCTGCTCTCTGTTTCTCAAGGGCCCCAACACTGTGAGACAACACAACTCAGACTCCGCCGATCATGTGACCTGAGTGTGTCTGCTGTCCCACAGACTGAATGTGCCTGTCACCCATCTCAATCTGACCCAATCAACTTCCCTTTGTTTCTCTGTTTGAGCATCATTGGGGTTCAAGTAGACAGCCAGCCTGACAGACAGCACGTTGAAGCCACCTAAAGGAGCAGAACACGATTGGATGGGAATAGAAGAGGATTGTGTCACACTCTGGGATGACGCTTCACCAGACAGGTTGGACGTATGAATCAGGCACAATTTAGCCATTCAATCTATTCATCACTTTGCTTGATCTCACACTAATTGCACTGTGCAGTGGTTGTCACAAGGTCATGTAAAACATTTTGGGGATACTGCATTAATATGCATACAAATATCATTTTCAAACTAGTTTGTTAAAATCGATGCTAATTATTACATCATCAGTCCGAGATTCAAATTTTAACTAAAGATTGTTATCTTGATTAAGGTATGGATGGCAGGGAGAAATATAAAAGGACTGAATTAAACGTTTTTGTTATTTGAAATTCCACAATGGTCGTCATTGAGGTCTTGGGCTCAGAAAAAAATGATTTTCATCTACCTCTGTACATTATCTAGATATGCAACACAGTGAGAAATATTGAACTGCTGAAACCAGGCCTTACTGTGAGAAATGTAACTTAATGAAACAATTTCAGGACTTTCCGATAAAACCCATGACTTGCTATTTAAAAGACATGTGCTTAAATTTTCTGGACCCTTCATTGATATCCACTCTGCTTTTTTAGTGTTAGTTAGTTTTTCCGTTAATCATGGTCTATGTCAGTGAAACCCCCTCCATATTGTGGCCATTACACTCAATAAATTAAAGGGTGCACTATGCAGCAGCCACACATGCTTATCCTTTTGCAGGCATACCCTTCTCCCCGTAACTGAACACAGCACTCTCTCATGACGTTCCCAGTCAATTCATCTACAGCGGGACTGGAGGAAAAATTTGCCTGATGACAAGTGAGGGAGTGAGGGAGGAGTGGCAGAGGGCCAGCAATATCTAGACATTTCCTGAGCTCCTACCAGCTGCTGCCCAGGGGTCATCCCAGGGGTCAACAGGAAGGAGCACATCTGGAGCAGCTGTCACCTGTCACTTCCTGTGTGGAGCGGACCAGAGAGGGCCAGGTGGACTGAGTGACAGCAGGCAGCTTCCCACTAGTTGGGCTGAACCCCGGATCTCTTAGTGGTGCCATTAAAAGTCCATAATAAACTGGATGT